CTCTCTCTCTGCCGCTGTGCTGTCCGCGTCGACGCTCGCGACTGTTGGAATGACAGGATGTTGGCTCCAGACGCCATTGGACTGGGCAAGGAGCTGGCGTGAGGTGCCAGGGGGGGTGCTCCGCAGCAGCCTTACCACCACATAAACAAAAATTCGATTTATGACCACTGTGCGGGTGATGGTGATGCGGAGGGTGTGTATGTGGGCGGTGGGCGGTGTCGCTGAATTTTTGGGGGTGGCGCCACTGCCACTGAAAATACTTCTGTGCCGCCTCTGACTGTGACAGCAACGGCGACGTGAACGGCGGCCGTTCTGGCAATAACGATAACACTCACACAGACCCCAAGGGGGAAGGTGGAACCAAAGAGGGTGTGCCTGGTGACTGGTGCCTGTGCCGTGGTGGACGTGTGTGTGATGGGTATAGGGAAAAGTCGGATAGAGACAGGAGGCATGGGTTTATTCTAGGATTGCTAGGGAGATTGCTCGAGAGAAGGAGAAGAGACCCGAGGCTTAGAAAGGAACATGGCTCAGATGACGATGTGTGCGTGTGGCACTGTGGCAGCAGCAGCAGCAGCAAAACGCATACACTGAGAACTTCAAATGAAACTTAACATTATTACGCCCGGTACTCGAAGAGTGAAAGGGTATATTATATTTTTGTTCGAAAGTTGATGTATGTAACGGACAGAAGGAAGCGTTTCCGACCCCATAAAGTATATGTATATTCTTGATCAGCATCAATAGCCGCGTCGATAGATCCAAAAATACAATATACCCTATTTACTCTTCGAGTACCGGGTATAAAAACGTCATTCCATAGAGAATAGCCATATCTATCAGATCACTGAATAAGGATCCGATTGGATCATTAATTAGCCATTTTTGAAATACACTTGTTTCAGTGTGAGCATACAGCAGTCCGGAGCCAAAATTTGGTGGTTCTAGCTTTTATAGTCTCTGAGAACTAGCCGACAAATAAGACAGACAGACGGACAGACGGACAGACAGACATGGCTCAATAGACTCGGCTATTGATGCTGATCAAGAATATATATACTTTATGGGGTCGGAAACGTTTCCTTCTGTGCGTTACAAACAACCGTTATTCACAAAAATACAAAATACTCTATTTACTCTTCGAGTACCGGGTATAACAATCCTCTTGAAAGCTTTTGACGCAACTAATATTTAAAAACAATTTATTATTTCAACTTATGTCGAAAAATAAATCTTAATGGGAAGATTATTCAATTATACTCTCACTCTCGTTGAATTGGTTGTTAAATTGTTTCGTTGTGCGCCCAGTTCGTTCGGGTATTTCTCGCTGTGCAGGCTTGGACCCGGGCCGGAGTCCTGTGTAAGTACGAGTAGTTCTGCGATAGCAGTAGAATCCTTGTGGTTCTTGTAGTTTTTACTGCTTCTGTTTCTGCTTCTGTCGCTGCCTACGTCGTCGTCATCTCAAATCGCGTAAGCACACACACGCAGAGAGAGAGAGAGAGAATCAGAGGGAAAATCGCGCTTTTTGGCCGTTTTTGGGGGTCTCTCGGTCTCTCTCTCTCCGCGTCAAAAACAGCGACAGGAGCCGACGACGACAACGACAACAGCAACGATGCCGCGACTTGGGCCGAGAGAGCAGCGAGTGGAGTCGGTCGTGCCGAGTCGCTACTCTCTGTAATCTAGCGGTGCTCATAAAGTAACTATAAGGAGGTCTCGTCGGCAAAAATAAGAAATTCGTGCGTGTGAAAATGCTCTCGCTGTAAGTGTGAGGGCAACGACAATGGAGTGTGCTGATTAACCATTTGAAAGCCATGTGAAAAAACATAATAATTGTTTCATAAGTTAATTTTTAATAGTTTGCTACATGATAGTATTCTTTGTTTAGAAAAAAACAACAGTTTGAAAAAATTTAAAAACAAATTTTGTCCGCAACCACCCTTCCGCGTCGACAGGCAAACGAGCACTGAAAATTAGGAAAAGCAACGAGTAACTCTGCCACCTACGAGACCTCCTTATAGTTACTTCATGGCGGTGCTTTGCGAAAAACTGCGCCCTCCCCCCACAAACACACAGAGACACCACACTAACACATACATACGCGCATACAGAGATGCGAAGAGCACTGTGGAGGCGGCCGCTCAGCTGGCGTCGTCGTAGTTGTCGGTGCCGCCGCCGTCAGCGACAGCGCTGAGGATGACTGCGGCGAGGACATACACATAAATAAAAAGTCCTTCATTCCGTCGCGACCAGCGAGTAACGGCTCATGAGCGCTCGCAGAATAAACGCTTAACATAACGGCGGATAAAACATTTTTGGCAGAAGAGAAGCCAAGAGAAGGCCTCCGCCCCGCTCCTGCTCAGCACCCGGACACGCAGAAAGCAGCACAAAGAAAAACCCAACACATAAGACGAGAAAAAAAGCAGAGAGAAACAGTTTCAATAATTAAACAGTGAATCCTTTTTTGTTAGTCTTTTTTTTGACACTTTCTTTTCAAGTGCGCGAAACAGTGTCCTCAAAAAGTGTGTGGTGCTGGCAGCTAACAGCAGCAGGAGCAGCAGCAGAAACAGAACGCAACGTAAGAGGCAAAAAAAATGGAAAAAGTGCAGTGGCGGCGAAGGCAAAGGCAAAGGCGAGGCGTCTAGCAGCCCCCTCGCACACACACACACACACACACACACACAAGTACAAAAGCTCTGTGGCCAACCCCGCCAACACGCGCGCGCCCTGTCTCGCGCTGTTTCCTTCCACCCACCAGCATGAGAGTACGATGGGGCAGAGACACCCTCTCTCTATGAGAAAAGAAAAAAAGCAACACACACACTCACACACTGAAATTAACGAAATTGAAAAGCAGAAAGAGCAACAACAACAAAAATAACAAAGCAGAATTAAAGGAGAAGAAAAGTAGAAAGATGGAAAGAAAATAGAAAAATCGCGAAAAAGCAGAACAGAAATCAGGCAAACAGGAGGGCCAAACGGGAGAAACACAGTAAAGAGCGAAAAGACAACAACAACAACAACACTGTAATGTAATGTAAAGTAAGAAATGAAAAAAAAAAAATAGCCACAAGCTGGCAGAGAGGGCTACGAAAATAAGAGCAGAGAAATATTACAAAATATAAAGAACGACCCAAGAGGTGCACAAAATCTATAAGGATAAAGTAAAGAGTAGCAAGAAAGGGTCTAAGAACACTCACACAAAGAAACACGCGACATGGCAATCAGAGAAAATTTGTTTTTTTTTTAATTTTTTGTATCTTGTGATTATCAAAGGTGGCCAGAAAGTCCTCGGAGCATTTGCATTTAAAAGACATTAATGACAAATTGTCAAAATAAAAAGAAAGACAAAACGAGAAGGGACGTGTGAGACGCTTCTTACGCGTCACAACTTTTATACCCGGCACTTAGTACTACATCTGCACATTAGCGGTTATTTGTCAAATGTTTCATTTTTTCTTCATCTGTCATCTACATCAACAACACTACTCACGCGAACAAGCTCCTTTAGTTCGCCACCCTCCCCTAGAGCCACTCACTGCAGAGTCAGGGCAGAGACGCGGCTGAGGCAGAGACGTGTTTGCGCGAAGCAGAGTGCGAATGAGAGAATGTGCATAAAACAAACATAAGCTGCGGGACGGGGTGGGTTTAGCCACTGGCTGTTAATTTCTTCTTTGTGGCTATAATAATGATCCAATCGGATCCCAATTCGGTGATCTGATAGATTTGGTCATTCCCTACGGAATGGCCTTTTTGGTTTTCTTTTATATTAAAAATTGAATTGGGGAGGTTTTCGCCCTTTTTTTCGGTGGCGGAAGGGGGCGGGGCTAATTTTTTAAATACACTGGTTTCACTGTGAGCATACAGCAGTCTGGATCCAAAATTTGGTGGCTCTAGCTCTTATAGTCTCTGAGAGTCCCGACAAACAAGACGGACAGACGGAAAGACGGGCAGACAGACAGACATGGCTCTATCGACTCGTCTATTGATGTTGATCAAGAATATATATACTTTATGGGGTCGGAAACGCTTCCTACAGTGCGTTACATACAACCGTTATTCACACAAATACAATATACCCTATTAACTCTTCGAGAACCGGGTATAAAAACCAAAATCACATGTGCATTTCTATGCCAAAAAATAAATGTAAAATTTTTTCAAAAAATAATGACAAGCTTTAGTCCTCCCGTTGCCGCATGCCGCTTGCCACTGCCAAAGGGCGCGCGCGTGTGTGTTTGTGTGTGTGGGGCCCGCAAACGTATGGCAACAAAAAACTAGCCACAAAAAATAATTCCTAAAGATAAACAAGAACGTGTCAAAACGAAAAGCAAAAGTCAGCCGGGAAAAGGGAAAGTCTATTAAATATAATTGAGTTTCGAAACTATTAAGCAAGTTCGACGCGTAAACATAAGCATAAACAAAAGTGAACAAACAAAATAAAATAAAAGATAAAAAAATAATAATAAAACAAAAGCACAGAAAAAGGAACCGCTCAGTGTTCACACGGTAGCGTTGCCACCTCGTTTCGACAGCCAGCGAGTGTGGTGGGGCTCTCTGTCTGTGTGTGTGTGTGTGTGTGTGCGAGTGTGTGTGTTTTTTTTTCTTTTTTTCCTGTGTGTGTTTGTTCGTTTTGGTGCCGCGTCGTAGTTGCATCGGTATTCCATCTGAGATAATCAATTTTTTTTTGTCTTCTCTTCTGGTGTCTCTCCGGTGACTCTCTGATGACTCGCGAGCAGCAATAACGACGCCAAAAAGGATACGCAGAAAGCAATGCAACAACAGCAACAGCGGCAACAACTGAAGAAGCAGCAGCAGCAGCAGTTAAAGCACCGACAACAGCAACTTGCAACAGAAAAACATCAGCTAGAGCAACAGCAACAGCAACACAAACAACAACAACAAGTGTAGTGTGTCGCACGCGCGACTGTGTGTGTGTGAATAATGAAGAAGAAGCAGAAACAACAGCAGCAGCAGCAGCAGCAGCAGCAGAGGCAGAGGCAGCAGCAGAGGCAGCAGCAGCATCAAAGCAAGGCGCAATCTGAGGCGGAGTCGGAGACAGAGCGTTGCAACAATTCGCGTCGCAGCAGCGCCGCCAGCAACAACAACAAATAGCCAAAACTGAGCAGCGTTCGGCAAAGCGCAACAACAATTACAATTGCAAAAAAATCGGCAACAAAATCAACAACAAACATACAACATACAACAACAGTGGCAGCAACTAAGCGTCGGAGAGCGGCAGGTAGCAACAAAAAGAGGCACAACAACAGGCGACAGAGTCACAGCAGCCGGAGTGCGAGCCGCAACAGAAGCCGCAGCAGGAGCAGAAGCCGTAGTCGGATCAAGAGTCATAGTCGCAGTCGAAGTCAAAGTCGGAACAGCATCCAGAGCCCCGATCGCAGTATACAGAGTCCGCCGCGCAGCATACGGAGTCCCAGCCCCAGTCCCAGTCCCAGTCCGAACAGGAGTCGCACCAGCAGCACTTGTAGCAGCCACAGTTGCAGCAGCGAAAGTGAAGCCAGCAGCATGTCCAAGGCAAGCAGCACAGCGACACCCACTGCAGCAGCAGTTGTTGCAGCAAGTGCAACAACAAATGCGACGCATGCGAATGCGAATGTGAATGTCAATGCAAATGTGAATGCCAATTCGAATCCCAATGCGGATTTCAGTGCATTCGATTTCAATGATAGTTCGGATAATTCTGATACGCCGCTAGTGCCACGCCCACCATTTCTGAGTCGAGCTGCAGCGGCAGCAGCAGCAGCAGCAGCGGCAGCAGCAGCCGCACTGAGCAGCAGCGGCAACAATTCAAATTCCCCAACATCAGGCGGTGGCGGCATGCAACAGCAGCAGAACATGCAGCAGCAGCACCTCAACAACAACAACAACTTGCAACAGAACAACAGCAACAACAACAATAACAATTGCCGCAGTAGCAGTCGCAGCAGCAGCACCTCCCAAAGCAGCCTGGACGATGAGGAGGAGGATGAAGAAGATCAGCAACACCAGCAGCAACACCAGCAGCAACAGCAACAACAAAGGGCTGCTGCAGCAGCTGCCGTTGTTGCAGCAGCAGTTAGTGCGTTGCATAACGGTAAACAGCAGTTCAACAACAACAACAACAGCATTAACAACAACAGCAAAGTGCGAGAGCCGCGAGAGCTGCACGATCCACAACAGCAGCAACAGCAACAGCAACAGCAACATCCAGATGATGAGGAAGAAGACGACTACGACGAGGATGATGAGGAAGATGATGAAGAAGAGCCACACCACCTTCACCAACAGCAGCAGCAGCATGGCAATGGAATTGGCCATGACCTCACGCCCACGGATCTTCGTCACGTTCTGCCATCCAGCACCAGCCATCACGATCATCTTCACCAGCAGCAGCAGCAGACACAATTGCAGACGCAGTTGCAGCCACAGCAGCAGCAGCACCATCCCCAGGATCACGCGGACTACGACGACGATGGCGAAGATGAAGACGATGAGGATGAGGAAGAGGATGAGGCGGCCAGCAGTCACCTGGACAGCCAGGCCACCCTCACATCGGCCCACCTGAGCAGCGCGGCGGCTGCGGAGAGCAGCGGCCTCCACATGAGCGCCGTTGCTGCGGCGGCAGCAGCAGCTGCAGCAGCGGCTGCGGCCGCCGTCAAGCTAAACGCACAGCTGGAGCAGCAGAACGCAACAGCGCTGGATATGGCCAGCGTGGGTCCGGTGGGTAGTGGCGCCACAGTCCCTCAAATGTCGATGGTGACCGCACCGAGCAGCCTCATTGGTGGCAACAGCAACACCAGCTTTTCCACCAACAACAACAGCAACCATGCCCTCAGCTCGACGCACGGCAGCACGGGCGGAGGCGGAGGCACCGGCGGTGGGGTTGGTTTGCCCAACGATGTAGCGGCCAACGGTCGAGGTGGTGCGGGCAGTGTGGGTCCCACCTCCCAGCAGCAGCAGCAGCCCCATCAACAACTGCAGCAACTGCAGCAACAACAGTCGGGCAGCGGCAGCAGCAGCGCTGCCAGCGAGCGTCGCAAGTACCGCCACCAGAACTACAGCAAGAACATCTACATAGGCACCAAGAACGCCGAAAAGTGGGAGCACATGCGCACCCGACTCCAGTTCAAGAACGATGTGGAATTTGTTGCCTATCTGCTCAATCTGGCCGACAACGATACGGATCGACTGAACAAGTAAGTAGAACTCGAATATGAATGGTTTTCTCTAGATTGGGTTTGGGAGTGATAGGCTTGGGAACAACCGATCTGCCAGGATAATTATGGTTTTTCTGCCCGAAGAAAAACGAGAGGCAACATTGGCCTAAATAGACGATGAAATACATCCAATGCAGACAGTTTTATAATGCTACCTACTCCAGCATACTGTGTCTAATGTGTCTATCAATAGATCTTCTCGTTGAACGACATCTCGATGAGATAAGAGGAACTTCTAGATAAGATGTGTCATCATTAAAGAACACTCTTTTTGACATAAATATGTCAGCACTTGGAAATCTTGTAAGCACTAGGGGAAATTCTCGAAAATCCTTTCGCTGGGGGATCTTCTCGATGGGGGATCTTCTCGCTGTGCGCTCTTCTCGCTGCCAGGTGTAGTTCATCATTGAGTTTTGATTCATTATCTATTACACTCTCGGTGTATCCAACTGTAAGAAAAACCAACCAGCAACAAGAGGCTTAGCCAAAGATTCTTTTTCTGATCCCTGGCGATCTGGTCCTTTGAATCTCTTTGGACTTCTCTTTTGCTTTCGGTTTCATCCGTTATCATTTTATCTACTGGGAAGTCCTGGCATAGCTTTGAAAGAAAGTCGCCCAGGGATACGAAGAGAATGGGAGACAAATGGCGCGGCACAAAAGCGAGCCATGTAAAAGCGATTCATGCCCGAATGCATCTCTCTCTCTCTGTCTCTCTGCCTCTATGTATGTACATATAGATTCAGCCATCCTCCCTCCCCACAGCAACTGCAGCAGTTGGACCATGTGGTACAAAGGCACAAATGCGGTACTCCTGCGGTTGCATGCAACGGCGCTTTCATGTTGCCTCTGCTGGAGCCATAGCCCGCTGTGTGCCCCCTATTCCTCGTCGTCGTCCTTGTCGCTGCCGCCTTGTCAACGGAAGCGGAAAAAGCAACACGCTCATACACATACAACGAAGAACAAGCACACACACACACAAACACACACACACACACGCATATGCTAGAGACAGAGCACACTCAAGCAACATCGTAGAGGATGTTGTTGCATGCATTTGCATGCCATGTTGCCAATCGCCCACACACACACACACACACACACACACACATAGAGGGTGGGTGAAAGAGAGAGAAAGATGCAGAGAGAGTCAGGGTGAGTGGGAGTGAGGGAGAGTGGAGTGTGGAAGCCTGCATATAGGCGTACCCGTATTATTGCTCCTGCTCTGATGCTCCTGCCTCGCGAGGCCTCGGCTCCAATATGAATGCGTCGCGCAATTTTCTTCCTTTGCCCCACATTGCACACAGCACAGCCAGCTCACATCACCCCCACAAATACCCAACGCCTACTACCACCTGCCACGCCTTGTTGCACTGCAGCTCGAGCGCGCCATTTGGCGCTTTGTATTTCCACACATACCTTACATACATATTTATGTATGTATGTATCTACTATGTATGTATGTGTTTGCTCCCGCTCTATGCTCTGCACACTCCACTCTGCACTCTCTGTGTGTGTGCTCCTACTGCGTGGCAAATACAAAATTCCAATGCTGAAATGTGGATTCACATACGTTGCGCCCCTGCCATTTGGTTGCCTCTTTGTTGGACCACCAGAAGCGGCAGCAACAGCAGAAGGAACAGCAACAGCAAAAGCAACAGAACAAGCGAAAGAATGTCACAAGGAGTCAGAAGAATGAAAAGGCATCCACAGAGGAGAAGCACAGAGGAGCGGCCTCAAGATGATCATTAAAGAAGATGAAGAACTCAAACGATGTTTGTGCGCTGTGCCTTTGATGGCTATTCAGGATTAATTTAGTGTTTCATCAATGAGGTCAGCACATCACTTTCATGACGATCATTCATACATCACTCATGTCTGTGTACAGGACCCCTAAGTGCCAGCAATCTGTGATTCATATGTTATACCGCCAATATAATGCAACATCATATCAATAACCCAATTAAAATATGGTTTAAAAGTATCCGAGTTAACAAACAAACTTTTGGGCGTAATTGAATTATTTTGCAGTTAATTTTTATGCAACTTCCCCAGTCTCCCAGCCACCCAGCCTCACTTTTTGTCCTTCCTACCTTCGCTCAAAATAGTCCTGCGACTCTAATTGGTTGCAATTGTTGCATGAAGACATAAAAATAACTTTCAATTGAATTTGGGGCCAGTCTCCGCCTCTCTGCCTCTGCAATCTATATTTAGCATTTGCATTTCCATTTTCATTTCCATTTGTTATTGCGCCTTCAGCCTCCCTGTCTTCCAGACCACTGTCCCTGCCAGCAGGGTGCTGGCAGGATGAACGCATTGGCGACTGTCACATATGTATGACGCGAATGACGTTAATTCGTTTTCAAAATTTTTCCACCAGCGAACGCATGTGTACATACTCGTACGTCATTCGATATGATTGATAGCGGGGTTCTTTCTGTTCCTGCCACAAGGACACGTTGCAAATGACGTTGACAGGCGCCATTCCCACAGTCACGTGGCCATGCATAAGAACAGCTGATTGAAGCCACGTCAATCTGGAGAAAATTTGTTGACAAATTTATTTGAATAATTCACAGCTTGTCTGACACTTGCAAGCCTAATAAGGAAGTTGACTTTAGCTCGTATACGCATTGGACAAAGTCAAGTCTTTTGGCAACCAATGTTTCTGCGGAACGATTCCAAATTGTTTTATGCCAAAACGAAACGACTAAAATCGGAGGAGCCACAGAAATGTAAATGTACATTTGAATATGAATGTGTCTGGGCAATCGTTCTTGTACAACTTTCCCTTACTTCATAACTTTAAGAGACTACCAACAAATATGTGCACATCCATGGTATTAGCAAGACCACGGATCAATGGATCGTTTGCTGATAAAAAATAAATTCATTGAAGTTTCAGCTGAATCTTTGTATGCATTGCATTCAGCTGCACAATTGCTTCAAGGATATACCTTAGATGATACTTTGAGGAATAAAAAGCACCTCTATAATATTTAGCTACGATCATATAGTTCTGTATCAAACTTTGGAGGAGTAAACTAACCAGAACTTCCACTTACAAATTCAAGCTCCTTTGACTCGAGGTAATGATTGTTTCAAGTGTTTCAAGTGCTGTGGATTGCAATCTGTGGACTGTTTAACGATTCCCATTAATATTTTCCCTACATAATCGCAAGACAAGAGTCCTCAAAGACTTATCTTATTACTCCATGCGATAGCTCACAATTTTAGCCTTTGCTTTTCAGTAATAAATTTACTCTTGTTTAAGAACTTCGCTCCTTTCCCTGGTCGGCTTTCGGCCCGTGAGTAACTTCACTTGAATTTTGCTTGGAAGAATCTCAATGCGAATTCTAATATCGACGGAAACGGGGTCCAGAGCAACAGCGCTCAGAATACTTCCCATTTTATTATTATATCCTGAATATATCCCCTCAAATCTGTGAACAATGGCGTGTCGCTGAAGTCCTTTGTAATGCTTTGTGGTGATCTTGCCCCTGGTCTTATCTGGGCCGTGTCTGGCTTTCAGCGAACCATTTCCCAAAGGGAACTACGAACACACGAAGGGCTACCAATTTATCAGCGAATATCTGCAGTCTGGGCTCCAGTACTTCACGACAACATACACTTTTGTTGCTTTTTTCCCATGGTTGCCATAATCACACACACAGAGAAACAGAGGGACAGAGAGAGAGAGAGAGAAACACAGAGACAGGCATACAGAGACGCGATAGATATCATTTGCTACCATCCACAGTGCGAATATTGTCAGCCTTGGCTCCCTTATGGCTCGCTACTCTCCGACCCCATCCCAACCCAACCCCTCTTTGGGTTTTTTTTCCAAATTCGCATCTCGTATACGCCATGTCGCCAATTTCTGCGAAAAATTCGCAAAAAAATTGTTGTTGTTGTGCGACTGTCTTTGTGTGTGCGTGTCTCGTTTCTCGCACTGTCCATGTGTCTGTGCCTCTGTTCTTAATGCGGCAGCGAGCAAAAACCAAACGCATACGAAACTGAATCCCAATTGAACCCCCCACCGCACGAAGCTCCACACCACACACCCCCAAAACACCAACCCCAACCCCAAACCGAACAACTGAAACCGAAGCAGGACCAAACACCCAACTCAAGCCATCTCCGCCGCCACTCCCCTCGATTTGTCCCTCAAGCAGCACATTAACGGCAGAGACACAGCGACAGAGAGAGAGAGAGAGAGAGAGAGAGAGAGAGAGAGGGAGAGAGAGATAGTGAAGCGGGAGATACGAAATGAGAGCAATGGGCAGAAGCATCAGCACAGGGCCATGAAGTAACTATAAGGAGGCCTCGTCGGTGGCAGAGTTACTCGTTGCTTTTCCTAATTTTCAGTGCTCGTTTGCTTGTCGACGAGGAAGGTTGGTTGCGGACAACATTTTTTTTCAAAATTTTTCAAAATGTTTATTTTTTCAAAACATAGACTACTATCATGAAGCAAACTATTAAAAATTAAATTATGTAACAATTATTATGTTTTTTCACATTGCCTTCAAATGGTTACTCGCACTTTTCACTCGCCCGAATTTCTTAGTATTTCCGACGAGACCTCCTTATAGCTTCTTCATGGTCGCCAGCTCCCTCGCTCGCTCATTCGTTTCACTTGTTCGTTTCACTCGCTGCTGTCTGGAGACGAGTGCGTTGCTGTTGCTGTTGCTGGTGCTGGCGGGTGATGGGGGGGGGGTCAGCTTTAACCCAAATTGTGGGAGTGGGATGTGTGGGGAGGAAGGCTGAGACAAAGTGGGACAGGGTAAGTGATTAGACGGGGAGGGGAATATGGAATGCTTCGAATGGGTTTGCCTTTGGCTGCCTGGATGGACGGATGGACGGATGAACGAATGGATGAATGGTATTGCTTGCTGGCTGTTGCCGCTGTTCTCGATATTGCTGTTAAGGCTCTAAGGTGGAGGATTTAATGAACGATAACACACACACACACACACACACACACACAAAAGCAAGAAGAACACACAGCAGACCGGGGTAGAGGTAGATTGAGGCGTACGCCATTGAGGGAATGCATGCTGCATGTACAACATTGTCCATGCATTGCACTGCTACACCACTCCACCCACTGCACCCCACCGATGACTCCGATGAACACTCCATACCATACACCCCATGTAGTGCATGGGTGCATGGCCACC